CATCCACACTTACTACTGTGCAATCTATATCTACAGGACCTTAAATTCCAATATTAACCTTGACCTAAAATGCTTTCTTGATAGTTATGACAGGATCCACAGGCATAACACAGACACAAACATCTCTATGACATACCCCGTGTTCGACTAAACCTTTACAAAAATTCAATGTATTTCAAAGGACCTAAAATCTGGAACACCCTACCTGAAAACTCTAGAACTGCAGACACTCATCACTTTCAAAACTACAGTCAGAAAACATCTTAACTCCCTGATCCACCCCGACAACTAACTACATGATAACCACCTGGTGGTTCACAATTACACTCACTCACCCACTGACTATAAACCCAGAAATACTAATCTTAATCTTAAAATAATAAATCCTAACTAGTCATAAGTTTGCCTATGATACTCCAATATAGACACTTTGTATTATGCCAAAACAAAAGCATTCACATTGCTAAACTCACAAATTATGATGTAGTCACTTAGCCTTAATACCATAATCTGTAAGGATTTAATGTTAAGAATTAATCTAAGTCTGCCCGAAATGCCTAGCCATGCTAGGTGTCCTAGTGGCCCCCTCTGTAATTAGTATTTTATAACATGTAAACCACACAATACCCAAACCTGTAAACCCCACAATGTAACCCTTATAGAGAATAAACTTGAATTAAATTGAATATAATACTTCCCTTACAATATGGTGCTAGATGCCCTTCCCTTATTCTACTGTTGTGTGATAATGACAGAAATGCAGTATAAGGCACTGAATATAATGAACAATGGCTCAATTTAACCCTTAAACAGTCCAAACGTATATATACGTTCACTCGCGCAGCGCCCCGAATATTTTGAAAAAAAAAAAAAAATTTAATTTTATAGAAAAAAGAGCACATTTTTTTAAAGTATTTTAGAATAAAAAAATTTTTTAGGGTCAGTACTTACCGAGATATGAGGCCGAGAAGTTGGTACTGGATGCTCATGTGACAGCAACATCGAGTCCTGCCCCTTGCAGAAGTGTTGCTGATATACCTTTTTTTCTATTTTTCATATTATTTTATGTAATTTTTACGTTCTGATAATTACAATTTGTAGTAGTTCTTATCATTTTATAATCAATCTTTGTTCTGACGCTAGTATTAGGTTCCTTAAATTGTACTCAAATTGTCACAAACACACTGACAGGTGGACATTTACACCTGCCTTAGCCATTTACTTTCGACTTGGAATATCTACAAAGTATTTATATGTCCTAACAATGTTTTGGATATGTGGAAGTATATAATAACAAGGAGGAGGAGGAGGAAGAGGAAGAGGAGGAGGAGGAGAAGAGGAGGAGGAGGAGGAGAAGATGGAGGAGGAGGAGGAGAAGATGAGGAGGAGGAGGAGAAGATGGAGGAGGAGGAGGAGAAGATAGAGGAGAGGAGGAGAAGATGGAAGGAGGAGGAGAAGATGGAGGAGGAGGAGAAGATGGAGGAGGAGGAGAAGATGGAGGAGGAGGAGAAGAATGGAGGAGGAGAAGGTGGAGGAGAGAAGATGGGAGAGAAGATGGAGGAGGAGGAGATGGAGGAGGAGAAGATGGAGGAGGAGAAGATGGAGGAGGAGGAGAAGATGGAGAAGAAGGAGAAGATGGAGGAGGGGGAGAAGATGGAGGAGGGGGAGAAGATGGAGGAGGAGGAGATGGAAGAGGAGGAGGAGATGGAGGAGGAGGAGAAGAATAATACATAATAATAATAGGTAATATTAAGTTCCCTTGAAGCATGAAAAACAAAGTCCACCCCTGACAGTGACATGATGAGATAACAACTGATAAGAGCTTACCTTTGATGAGCATACATGAGGGTGGGGGAGGGTGCAGCTGATAAGAAAAGATTAGAGGTGATATTTGATGAGCATCGCCCTCACTTTGTTTTCGCTGGTACACAAACATATCTGTCTGTCTGTCAAGCTCCCTGTCTATCTGTCTATCCGTCTAGCTCTCTGTCTCAGAGAGAGCCACAAGACTGCGTCGTCATCACGTTTACTCACAAGCAGAGTATAGCACTTTGTCTGGATTTTTGGGGTTATCCTAGGTAATTTACACTTTGTATACTTGTATTTATGTATACCTGTGAGACAGAGATAGACAGACAGATAGAAAGAGAGACAGATTGAAAGAGATACAGAGACAGATAGACAAAGACAGATAGAGACAGAGACAGATAGACAGAGACAGACACAGACAGAGACAGAGGTAGACAGATAGATAGACAGAGGAAGATATAGATAGACAGACAGAGATAGACAGACCCTAAACTTGGGGTTAACATCACTTTCCTCTTAAAAGAGGAGTGTTAATATGACATTACATCAGTGAATCCTTGGTGTTTGCCGCACTGTTTGCTCTAGCTGGCGCTCAGTTTAACTGGCGCTCTCACAAGGTACTAAGTGGTCCCAGATTTTTTTAATACCGCGCACACTGAGTGTTAGGACCCATTTTATGCTGACAAGGCATCTCAGACCAATCATGCCAAATTTGAAGGCAGGAAAAATAAAATGTATATATACATTTGGGGCGCTACGCATAAGAACGTATATATACGTTTGGACCGTTTAAGGGTTAAAGCCAGCGAAAATGTGGAACACCAAAAAGTGGGTGCTGTATATGTGGGTTCCTCCTGTTTCTTGATCCTTATTTACATATTTGTTTCCTCACAAATTGATTTTGCAAGTGTCTGTGGGTTTACCTAGCTACTGGCTACAAAGACTTTCAATCTGTACTGAGTCACGAGCTAAACTGGTATTCACTCCCAAATGGGAGTTTCCACTATTCTGTACTTGTATGAGTTGTACTGGCTCCCTATCAAGGCAAGAACAGAATTTAAAACCTCTGTTTATTAACCCTTTTAGTTACTATTATGTAGAACTACGTCTATGAGACCAGGGTCCTTCACGTAGTTCTACGTCATGAGCTCAGCTCACTCAGATAAGCTGTGAGCAGTAAATGTTATTTTGTTTTTGTTTTTTAAGGATAGTCCAATTTGATACAAAAAATTCCAAAGATTCCAAATTTTAAAAAATATTTATTGCATTGACAAATTTGCCTACATGCAAACTAAACTGAATAGGTATTATTGTGGCTGTAAGATGCATTAGCTATTAAATACGTACTGAAAACATTCAGAAGAGGAAGATGCATATATCTTGACTGATGTCTAAACAGAAATCAAAATTTCACACAATTCTGCACATAATGGTTAAATCTACCCCTTACCCACTTGACTTTCATTCTTTGCCATTGTTGAATTAAGAAACGCCATTTTATTATTTAACGTCTGAATCTATGCCACTGAGGATTTTCGAAGTTATCCAAGCCATTCCAGGATACTGGGGTCAATAACTTTGGTCATAGGGTACCTGCACATGCCAATTATTTTTAGAATCTGGTTCTCATTAAGGGACACAAGCATTCAATATTTGAATCCAATAGGATATGGGGTTCTTGAGTTACGAGCAAATGAAAACTGAAAAGATGAAGAAAAAAAAAGTAAAAATTCAGGCAGCCACTTAAGGTCCCCCTTCAGAAATACCTAATAATAAAATAAAGAAATGAAGACAAGTGGATTTGGATAAGTGTTACATTAATACAATGTTTACTGTATCAGTTAACCCTCTGACTGTTTTGGTCGTATATATATGTCTTACACGCCACTGTTTCGGACGTATCAATACGCGTAAATTCTAGCGGCTTCAAATCAAGCAAGAGAAAGCTGGTAGGCCCACATGTGAGAGAATGGGTCTGTGTGGTCAGTGTGCACCACATAAAAAAAATCCTGCAGCATGCAGTGCATAAGGAGAAAAAAAAATTTTTTTTTATTAAAACGCCGACTTTGAGGTGTATTTTCATATAGTATTTATCGTTGTATTCTCGTTTTCATGTTTTCATGTGATAAAATGGAAAACATTACAGAAATAGAGATGATTTTGATTAGTTTCAGGATGAAAACAACCTTGAAATTGAGCTCAAATTAGTTGAAATGTTCGATTTTTACCAATGTTCAGGAGTAAGCAAATCACACCACACGTCCAATACACGTCAACTGGGGATTCTAATATTCTTTCACTAGTGCACTGATATTATTTATACCATTTTTACAATAATGCATTAGTCTGCATAACAGTAAATTTTGTATTTTTTTGTATGAATAAAAAATCAAAATAGAAAGGAATAGTAGTATAAGAGGGGCCTAGAGACGTGACTAATGAACAGAGGATTTATTTTAGTGCCAAGAATGTCTACATAGTTTATTCTGGATCCTATTTTGAAATTGGCATCTTTTTTAATTTGCGTGAAATTGGCCAAATTGCCAATTTCTGACCACTTTATTCGGTAGTTCAAATCGGTAAATGGGTGGTTTCTTGTACTCAACTGATAGAAAAAATGGAGCTCTAAAGAAATAGCTATGAGCTTGGTCAACTGGAACAACGGAATTGGCCAAAAACAGGGCTCAAAGCCAGCGAAATCACCAATGTATATATGTCGCCGAGACCACTAACTTCGCATGAGCGTAATTCTGTGTTTTCAACCAAATTTCATACTTTTGGTGCCATTACCATTGGGAAAAGATTCTCTATCATTTCATATAAAAAATCATTTTTTTTTTTCCAAAAATTTTGCGACATAGAATGACAGTTTCAGAAATGGGCTTGCGACAGTCAAAGAGTTAAATAAAGCTAACAGCAGTGAACCATCACAGCATTAAAACTGCATCTTTTCAACCAGCACAGTATCAAAAATTCACAAGAAATATAACACTGCTATGGATGAAGTAAATTGTATTAATGATATAAACAGGAATGGAACAAATGTTTAAAATCCTTTTACACAAATATTCAAGTTTAATAAACAAAATTTAATTTATCTTCAGGATAAACTTCTTAAGGCAGTAAAGTAAACTCAGAAATAAATCTCAGGCATCACTATAATATAGTACCCAGTAAACAAAAAGACTTACTTTTTGCAAAGCCACTGGACAATCAGGTCTTGAGGGTTGACTGGCCAGCATTTAACTTGTGCCTGGTAGCCAGCATGGTAATCTTTGAATGCTTCATGATCATGTGTGAACATCTTTACAGCATCAAGACTACTACTTGTGTACAAGGCCTCATTCACCATTCTGTCGAAGAAGATTTTATCAGTTTGCATGCTAGTTGGATAACATTAGGTAAATATGGACACTAGATAACTCATACTGTGTAGAAATACGTACAGTAAACTTATTTTTATATAAAAAAAAAACTCATACTGTGTAGAAATGTAGTACTATAAACATCCAATAAAATGGACCCGATAAAGTAGATGGTAGTTAAAATGGACAAAAAAAAGTCTGGCTAGACAAAGGCTTAACACACACATTAAATGGGCTGTCCAATTAAAATAGCCATGAAGGAGACTAAATTCACTATATTGAACAGTTAACCAGTCCAGTTGTGTATTTGATAAAATGAGCTGATTCTGCCTAATAGCCAAGTTTGTACGGTAGGAGATTCGTCATATACACATCCACTCTCAATGTTCCTGGGCAGTGGGTCCGGTGACTACCCACATCTAGGGCCGGATTACCGCATAGGCAAACTAGGCATTTGCCTAGGGCCCCACGCATTTGGGGGCCCCGCGGTCCAAGGGGTTCAGGGGCTCATCCAAGACTGCGCACATGGTGCAAGTGCAAAGGGGTCCCTACCTAAAAAGTTCAAGTGTTTGGAGAGTAAAATTGATTTTTAAAAATTAATCAAAACAAAAATAAATAATGAAATAAAATAAAATAAAAATAAATAAACCTAACCATAGATGGCAACACTCAACACGCCTTTGTTTACATCAGAACAGCTAATGGGTGAGTATGGGAGATTCCTCTCCAATTTTCTGTAGTAATTACATGTTATCTAGACTTGTACTGTGACAAATTAACTGAAGAAATGTAAGACAGCTACATACTTCATCATTCTGGATTCACTGATTACAGAATTGGTGAAAAGAAAAGAAATCTACCAGAATCTCAATGACAAGTTTGGATTTCTGTTCAAAATTACTACTATGCCAGATGCAGAATTGAGAGAAGCTGCATTAAAGTTGCAACAACACCTTTCAGCAGATGTTCAGGACACATTTGTTGAAGAAATAGTTCATTTTTCTGGGTATATGAATCAGATTAAAGCTCCACCTGAAAAATGTGCACCCTCAGCTGCTTTGAAACATTTAAGAAATGCAGGTATCTCAGAAACCTTCCCTAATGTTGACATAGTGTATCGCCTTTACCTAACACTTCCAGCTACTAACTGTGAAGGAGAATGTTCATTTTCTGTTTTGAAAAGAGTGAAAAACCAGCTCCGTTCAACAATGAGCCAAGACAAATTGTGTAACCTAGCCTTGTTGACCATTGAGTCTGATCTAACAAGAAATATTGATTTTCAGAATATAATTGATGATTTTGCCAATACGAAATCCATAAAAAAGTTTATTTAAGAAGTGCCTGTGAACATAAACAATTCTTTACTTTCTTGAGTTTATATGATTTGATAGTCTTATGCATGATGCAATGATAACAATAATGGTCAGTGATTTATAAAGGAAATAATAGTGCTGTAGTGGTTATGCTGAATATAATAGGTACATGATGTCACTACTTTAATAGCCTAATCTAGTAATACTATGCTGTCTTGAGTTTATTCTCTTTAAAATGCATGATTTAACAAGATAGTTATAATGGCTGTTGGTAAATGGTTTTGGTTGTCTTGATGTACTTTCCCTATTAAATTTAATCTAAATAGCCAGAATGTATTTAATTAGACCTTAAACAGGCTTACACCGACCCCCCCCTACCCCCATGATGGAAGGGGTCGCTTCGCTTACCCGTAACTCAAAGGGGCCCCGCCAATTTGAATAGCCTAGGGCCCGAAGACTTCTTAATCCGGCCCTGGCCACATCAGTGTTATTGTCTGTGTGTACACTGACACCATCACCATTTCACCTCCAATTTTCCTCTGAATTTACTGTTTTCAATCATTTTCTTAAAGTACTGTGTACAATTATAAACAATGGCCTCTAAAGTGATGGTGCCAAGAGGATGCATGCAACCTTAACTGTTAAGTAGAAACTTGAATAAGAAAGCTGGAGGCTGGTGTTTCAGTGGCCTGGGTGTGTGAGAAGTATGGCATAAGAAAACAGTGTCTGACATTTGTAGAAGCAAGACAAAGCTTACACAATATGCTATGAAGTAAGGTGTAGATGCTAGCCTAAAAGGTTCCTCAGTCACTCCTAGGAAGCACATGAAAATGGCCCAAGATACAAGGACTGAAGAAGTATTGCTTACTTTATATTCAACTGTGCAATGCTGGTATTAATGTTCACTGTGCTGAGCATCTGAGTACCAAACAAATTAAGCTGGATTCATTCTATTAACCTACTTCTTGTTCTATGTCTCCCTAACCATCTACCAATAAGCCTGAACTATCTGTGTCTCCTCAGCCATCTACATCCCCCACACCATCTACTTGTCTGCCTCCCACACTATCCACAATGTTACTGCTGGAGCTTTACAGCTCCACTGACTCAGACTAAGTTATTCTGGGTCACCATTAGACCACATGGCATTACTATACTGTATTGTACATTTGTACCCCTCAAGGAAGGTTCCTTGATGCTGTTGAGGGGCTCTTCATCTAGGGAATGGGATCTGTGCTCCAGTTCCCTGAATTAAGCCTGAATACCTTCCACATCATCCCCACAGGTGCTGTATAATCCTATGGGTTTAGCACTTTCCCCTTGATTATAATAATAATAATAATAATATATATAATAATAATAATAATGTACATCTATAAGTTCATCTGTCACCAGAAAAAGTAAGAAAAATTACTGCACTGTATTCTTTTGTATAGTATGTGTTGTACTTTTAACCCAGTTTCTTTTCAAGTACATTTACAGGTAATATTGTATCGTACTCAAGGTTATTCTTGACTCCTTGAGGGGGTCCGTGCCGTAGATCTACGGCTTTACACTCAGGGTCCAAACTGTATATCTATGTCATGAGCTCGGCTCACTCTGATAAGCTGTGAGCGGTAAATTTTGGCCTAGATATGAGAGAATACATCTGTGTGGTATGTGTGCACCACATAAAACAAATCCTGCAGCACATAGTTCATAACGAGAGAAAAAAACTGAGACCGTAATTTTCGATTAAAACAGCGACGTTGCAGTGTTTTTTCGTATGTTTTTTATAGTTGTAGAAGCGGCGGCGGCGGCGGCGACGACGGTGGCAGCGCAGGCAGTAGCAGTAGTGGGGAACTAAGGAGGAGGAGCCAGTCAAATATAAAGACAGGGGAGCACTGCAAGGGAGCTAGGTGCCCACAGAGGGAGAGCAAGTGCACAGAGGTGGGGGGAAGGGGAAGTGATGAAATAAATAATGAAGGAACAGAAACACGCGACAGAAGAAAGACAAAAAAAGGAAAGAGGAAAGGGGAAGAGGGAGAAGAAGAAAAAATGAGGAATCAGGTTAAGTCACGGGTGTTTGGAAGTTTGGAGCATTTTACAATGTAGTGGGGAGGAAGGCATCTACAGAGTAACAGAAGTCCAAAAGTTATTTTACAGCTCTATACATCACTAGTGAGGCCTCATTTAGATTATGCTGCTCAGTTTTGGTCCCCTTACTACAGGATAGACATAGACTCATTAGAGAACATACAGAGAAGAATGACTAAAATGATTTACTGTGTAAGGAACCTCCCGTATGAAGACAGACTTAAAGCCTTAAATCTCCACTCTCTGGAGAGGCGTAGAATGAGGGGAGATATCATTGAAGTGTATAAGTGGATGACAGGCATAAACAAGGGAGATATTAATAAAGTACTGAGGATGTCGAACCAGGTAAGAACAAGAAATGATGGATATAAGTTGGATAAATTTAGATTTAGAAAGGACATAGGTAAGTAGTACTGGTTTTCTAACAGAGTTGTAGATGCGTGGAACAGTCTTCCCAGTGGGGTAATAGAGGCTAGGACCTTGGGTAGCTTTAAGAAGAGACTGGACAAATATATGAGTGGGAGGGGCTGGGTTTGATTGGTGTCATGGGGTACGGGAGTTATTTCTTGGGTAGCTTTAGGTAGAGGTCGTTTTGATAAGGACCTGCCTCATATGGGCCAGTAGGCCTTCTGCAGGGTTCCTACATTCTTATGTTCTTATGAGAAGAACCCAGGACAAAGATTCATACAAAGAAAGTTGTGTATTAGAAAGGATTCAACAAGACGGCGACTGTTAAAGTTGGAAGTAGGGAAGACAGTTTTAGCAGACCAGTCTATAGGATGGCTGTGATCACTGACATGACAGAAAAGAGCATTGTTAGTGTTGGCAAGCCTAACGCTATTTTTGTGCTCCCTAAGTCTGTCAGAAAGAGATCGGCCAGTTTCTCCAAAGTATTGAAGAGGACAGGAGGAGCAAGAAATAGAGTAGACACCAGGAACATCTGTAGAGGGAGGAGAGGTATGAACGAGATTAGTGCAAAGAGTGTTAGTCTGGCGGAAAGTAAGCTTGATGTCTAAGGGACGGAGAGAATTGTTGAGATTAGAAAGACCGGAAATGTAGGGAAGGCAGAGGACAGAGGAGTTCCCAGGAGTAGAGAGTTTGGGAGAGAAGAAATTACATTTAGCTCATGAGAAGGCAGAGTCTATGAAATGGGAAGAGTAGCCAAGACGGGAAAACGAAATATGAAGAGTGGAAATTTCTGCTGGAAGGAACTGAGGATCACAGATGCGGAGGGCATGGAGAAAGAGGGAGATAAGAACACTTTTCTTGACAGGGGAAGCATGATAGGAAAAGTAGTGAATGTACATGCCACTGTGCATAGGTTTTCGGTAAACAGAAAAGGAAAAACCTGTATCTGAACGGTGGACATGGACATCAAGGAAAGGAAGCAAGGAATTAGATTCCCATTCAGCTTTAAACTTAATGGAAGGGCAAGATTATTAAGAGCTTCAAGAAAAGGTTGGAAGAGATTGGAGTCATGAGGCCACAGAGCAAAGATGTCATCCAAATAGTGGAGCCAGAGTGAAGGTTGCACATTGATGGTAGGAAGAAGAACAGTCTCGAAGTATTCCATGTAAAGATTAGCAAGGACAGGAGAGAGAGGAGAGCCCATAGCGACACCGAAGGTTTGAGAATAATATTTCCCTTGGAAGGAAAAGGAATCAGAGTCCACACAGAGGTGGATAAGATCAAAAAAGACTTCAATAGGAATAGGGAGATGTAGAAACCCTTCAAGGGCCTTCTCTCTAAGGAAATCAAGGACATCATCAAGAGGGACATTGGTGAAGAGGGACTCAACGTCAAGACTAAGCATCTTACAGGTTGGGAGAGAGCGAACCCGTTCAATGAAGTCTTGAGAGTGACGGAGGTGGGCAGGAGAAAAAGTACCAAGAAAGGGAGTGAGGGTTTTGGCCAACCAAGAAGCAAGAGAATAAGAGACAGAACCTCTAGAAGATATGATAGGACGAAGAGGAATATCAGGTTTATGAGTTTTGGGAAGGCCATAGAAATAGGGAAGAGAGGGACAGATGACACGAAACTGTTGAACAAGGTCAAAGCCAGGAGGACAGAGGTCTTCTGCTAAAACTGTCTTCCCTACTTCCAACTTTAACAGTCACCGTCTTGTTGAATCCTCTCTAATACACAACTTTCCTTGTATGAATCTTAGTCCTGGGTTCGTCTTTGTAGATGCCTTCCTCTCCCACTACACTGTAAAATGCTCCAAACTTCCGAACACCCGTGACTTAACCTGATTCCTCATTTTTTCTTCTTCTCCCTCTTCCCCTTTCCTCTTTCCTTTTTTTCTTTCTTCTGTCGTGTGTTTCTGTTCCTTCATTATTTATTTCATCACTTTCCCTTCCCCCCACCTCTGTGCACTTGCTCTCCCTCTGTGGGCAACTAGCTCCCTTGCAGTGCTCCCGTCTCTATATTGACTGGCTCCTCCTCCTTAGTTCCCCATACTACTACTACTATACTACTACTACTACTAATACTACTACTACTACTACTACTACTACTACTACTACACCACCACCACAACCACCACTACTACCACCACTATACTACCACCACTACTACTACCACCACCACTACTACCACCACTATACTACTACCACCACTACTACTACTACCACACATACTACACTACTACTATAACTATATACTATAAAACCCCCTAAAATTATTTAAAGCCTTGCAACGCTGTGTGGGGGATTTTCACCCAAAAAGGTTTGCAGTTCAACCCACTGTGCAAAATTTTCCCCTTAATTTTTAAAAGTAGGCACAATGGACCCCAAACGGCATAGGCTTCTCAGGGTTACCCCAATTTTAAAAAATTTTTCTTAATTTCCAACAAATTCTCACCTTTTTACCACAGGGTTGGCACTAGAAGCTTTTTTGGGCCCATGGTCACTTATTTTCAACAAACAAAACCCGAAAACACTGTAATAATCGAAATTTCCGGGTATGCTTGAATGTTACCGCGGAGGCTGCTGGAAAACAAGGGACGGCGGCACTGTGAGGTGGCTGAGGCCGCCTTTGGGCGCGCCCGGCGAAGTTCGCTGAGCGGGTTTTTGTCACTATGGGGGGCAAAATTTTTTACGATCAAAGCGTTTCGCTTGCGGAATGTTCGTATGCAAGGCGTTCGCTATGCGGGGTCCCCTGTATTTTATGGGTCCCCTCCTTTGTTCCCCACTACTACACACTATACTACTACTTTTTACTACTATCTACACTACTACTACCACCACCCCCCACCACTACCACACTACTACCACCACTACTACTCCCCCACTTCTACTACCACCACCCCTACCCCCATACTACTACCCCAATACTACACCACACTTTCTCTATACTACTATACACCTACTACTACTACCTTTCACTATACTCCACTATTACCCCTATACTACCACTACTACTACTACCCCTACTACTACTCTATACTACTACCACTATACTACTACTACTACTACACCCACACCACTACTACTACACTACTATTACCACTACATACCTATATACTACACTACTGCTATCTACTCCCTACACTACTAAACCCCCTACTACTACTACTACCCCACTAACACTACTACCACTATACACCACTACTATACTACCCCTCTACTACTACTATACTACCACCATACTACTACTACCACCCCTACCATCTATACTACAACTAACTACCATCACACTCTACCACTATACTATACTACCACTCTACTTTTTCTACTACCCCTACTATACTACTACTACCACTACTACTACTACTACCACTACTATACTACTACCAACTACATACCTACTACTACCACTACTACACACTACGCTACTACTACTACCACACTACTATACCACTACTACTACTACTACCACTACTACTACTACTACTACCACTACTACTACTACCACTACTACTACTACCTACTACTACTACTACTACCACTACTACTACCACCACCACTACTACTACTACTACCACTACCACTACTAACACTACTACTACTACTACCACTACTACTACTACTACTACCACACACTACTACTACATACCACTACTACACTACTACTACACACTACACTACTACCACTACTACTACCACTACTACCACTACTACTACCACTACTATCACTACTACTACTACTACCACTACCACTACTACTATCACCACTACCTCTTCCTGCCTATATATAGTCGTCGTGCTCCACTTTTGGTTAGTGTGGTGTGACTTTGTAAATGGTCCAAGTCGGACCGAAACGTCGTCGTAAGCTCCTCTCTTCTGTGTGCGGGTTATTTGTGTATCGTTCCAGCCACAGTATTGTGCCTTTTTTTGTTATTTATTCAAAATGGAATTCATTAGTAAAGCTTGAAAACATAACTAATCAACAGAGGAAATGTTAGTTTAGTGCCAGGAATGCCTGCATTGTTTATTCTGGACCCTATTTTGAAATTGGAGTACACCTACCATCCGACTTACGATCGAGCTTGGTTCCGACCAACTGGTCGTAAGTCAAAATGGACATAAGTCGATCCTTACTACTGAATATCAACATCACATTTTTGTAATGACTTTATTTTATTGTTTTATTCTGGTATTTCATTTTTTACATTACTTTTTATGCTGTTAGTACTGTGTTTCATACTGTAAGTTTAGGATAAACACTGTATACATCACAAACAGTTTCTTATTTCCCAGAAATCTGGCATACAAAACACAGTCATAAGTCGAGTGGTCGTATGTCGAGCAGGTCGTAAGTCAGATGGTAGGTGTATTTTGAACTTTGCATTAAATTGGCCAAATTACCAATTTCTGATCACTTTATTTTGTAGTTGAAACAGTTGCTTGGCGAATTCTTGTGCTCAGTTGATAGAATAAATACTAGTGAAATAGCTAAGAATTTGGTCGACTGGAATAATGTAATTGGCTTAAAATGGGAGTCTAAGTCGGCAAAATCGCCAATGCGTAAATATTGCTGACACATCAAAATTCGCGAGAGCATAATTTCATCAATTTTCCATCAAATTTGTACTTTTTGTTTTATTACCTTCAGAAAAAGATTCTCTACCATTTCATAAGAAAAAATAACAAAATTATTTTTTGAAAATTCTTGGACACTGGTGCACACTTTGAAATTTGGCCTCTGGACCTTGAAAGGGTTAATATGTCTGGTAGTCATGAATACGGCAACTAAATATGTTTTACTGGGCATATGTCCATGTCCTGTAGTTGATCAATTAAGTGGACTTCATCCACTTAATTGCACCATTCATTATAACCGAATATTTGGTAGACTGGACACCCCCTCTCCCTATCAATCCATTTTATTAGACGTTTACTGTATGTTAAAATGGGATATTATCTAAGGTAAACAGTTCAAGCATGGTAAAAGTAAAAACATAACAGAAGGCATTATTCTCTCTGTATTCATAACATAGTATAATTTGTACTTACCTGAATCTTGCAACAGCAAGCTGATTGATCATTTTTTGCCGTAAAGCCTCTGCTGAGCTGAGAATCAATGGTTTGGATTCTCTTGTAATTTTTGCCTCTTCCAGCATCTCTGCTAACTTATTCTTGTCCATTTTTTTTTTATTGTCAATTTTGGGACTAGATGTTTCACATGCATCAATTTTTGCTTCTTTTTTCTCTCTAATATTTCCTTTCTCTTTGCCTATTTTTTTTTCATCATATTTTGTATTTTTTTCAATTAACTCAATGTTTTTATGCCTGTTCTTTCTATTAGTCTCTAAATGTTCATTATCAATTTCAAAATCTGAATCTAAATGCTCTGAATCAATATAATCTTCACTACTTAGCTTTTCTTTTCTTGCAAAGTTTTTCTTATCTGCATGCACTATTGTCATATCTGAAACTGAAGACTTATCATTTAAATGCATCTTTTTCTTTTTTGCTGGCTGAGAGTTATGAAACGTTTCAAAATCTAACTCCTTTAATAAAGTTTTAAAATCTGACTGAAATTTTGGATCACAGTCATCATCATCATCAGCCTCAAAAATTAGGTCCTCATCAGTGTCTTCGGTTTCCATTTTTTTATTTTTCTTATTTTGCTTATTACCCAATTGGTTTCTTTGCTTAGATTTTTTAGGTATATTTACTGTAGATGATAGCTTTTCATTTTTCATTGTATTTCCCATAAACTCTACACAAGTTGGACTGTCTCCAATATTTTTTTTCTTATTTTTTGAGCGTTTTCCAATGTCAATTTTAGCTAATTCTTCACTGTTTTCACCTGAAAGCATCTGATCATCTGGTTCTGTAAAATCAGATGGTTGCGAAGAAATTCCTGAATGAACTTTACACTCATTCATACTGCTGGATTTACCCTTTTTATTCCTTTTTTTCCGTTTTGTTGTACAACTTGCCTTATTGTCAACACTATGTTCACCTACAGTACGTGCACCAGTTAATAATTTACTATTAAATACATAACTCACATTTACATCTGCCTTGCTGTCATATTCAACAGACTTATTAACAGTGCTACTTATATTTGATAGCATGTTGTCTTGTGTATTCTTTTCTTTCTTTTGTTTAGCATTTAACTCACTGTATTTATTTTTATTTTTATTTTTCCTTTTCCTTTTCTTCTTTCGGCAAGTTTTGATTACTAATTGCTCAGCCAAGCCTACATTGTCATTTGTACTACCATTTCCAATTGCTGTTCCAGTATCTTCACTGTTTATATTCTTTGAGATGCCATAAATTTGGTCTCCAGTGCCTTTAATTTTAGGTACTTTCTTTTTCTTCTTTTTATCTGTTTTTAACTCTGAAGACTTGTTTGGGAACAACAGGGAACAGGTCTGACTGGCACCAAGAGCATCATTATGTTGTCTCAAACTATTTATAGATTTCTCTATTTGTCTTGGCTGTGGAATTTGCTGGGAAAATTTATTATCTTCTGTTCTTTTTCTTTTTTTTTTCTTCTTTAAGTTAGCTAATAAACATTTAGATGACTTGGAGCTTAATATCTGAAACAAAAAAAGAATACACAGTGTATAAAACACATTTAAATGAACAACTAAGTTCAACATAATGCATCATGTACTTTATTGCTATATCTTACTACTATCAGTAGGAAAGTCTGGCCTCAGGACAAGCAACAAGAAAAATCACACTTAAAACTGATAAGAAAAATTATTTCTCTATCTCTATTTCTCTATGCTCCTTCATGAAATTATCATGTGAGAGATTAGTGTTACAAATATACAGTGTGTGAGTATGGAGAAAAGAACATTCATCTCACAACTGAAAGTACCCGAGTTAAATTCCAGGCAGAGCAAGATGTGGAAAAGTTTCTGAACACCTGCTACCTCTTCTATTTAGCAGTAAATAGATGCCTACATTTGTGTTGACTGTTGTGGGTCACATCCTGGGACAGGACCTCAGAAATACCTTGATGGAAATAAGCAACTGATTTTTACTTGAATTACTCTGGGCTATTAACCCCTCAGTGTCTACCATTCTGAATACAATCTTCTTACAGTCTTTGTCATCATATTCAGTAACCCAATTATTTTATAGAAAACAGTTTATTGCGAAAAACAAACACCAACAACACTGCAGCAATTTTGCAAGAACTAAGTTTGTAAAGTACATGAGCAAAGTCAGAGAATGACAACCACCTGTAGAACATGCCAAAAAGCCTACAATTATCATCACCAATGAAGTAATAACCTATTTCTTGCATATCTCTAAAAAGTTAGAGTTTTTGGCTACACTAAGATAATAATAAATAATAATATCTTTATTTCTACAAGTACATGTACATGTATAAGGTATACAGGCCTAGCTGACATCAATGACATACAGTGGACCCTCAACCAGCGATATTAATCCGTTCCTGAGAGCTCATCGTTAATCAAAATAATCGTTAGTCAAGTTAATTTTCCCCATAAGAAATAATGGAAATCAAATTAATCCGTGCAAGACACCCCAAAGTATTGAAAAAAAAAAAATTTTACCACATGAAATATTAATTTTAATACACACAAACTGAAGAAGACATGCACAGTTACATGACACTTACCTTTATTGAAGATCTGGTGATGATTGATGGGATGAGAGGAGGGGAGACCGTTGATCTTGTTAGTGTTTAGAAGGGGAATCCCCTTCCATTAGCACTTGAGGCAGCAAGTCTTTTTCTGGGGTTACTTCCCTTGTTCTTTTAATGCCACTAGGACCAGCTTCAGAGTCACTGGACTTCTGTCGCACAACATATCTGTCCATAGAGGCCTGTACCTCTTGTTCCTTTATCCTAAAGTGTTTCACAACATTGTCAGTGTAATAGTCACCAGCACGGCTTGCAATAGCTGTGTGAGGGTGATTTTCATCAAAAAAGGTTTGCACTTTAAGCCACATTGCACACATTTCCTTAATCTTTGAAGTAGGCAACTTCTTCAATTTCTCTCTCCCCTCCTCCGAAGCAGTTTCCTCAGGTGTGGCCTCTTATTGTTGAAGATGATCTAGCAGCTCATCAGTGGTTTGTTCTTCATTGTCCTCCTCCACCAACTCTTCCACATCCTCCCCACTAACCTCACCAATATGAGCACTAGTTCCAGGCATTTTTTCCTGTTCACCTGGGTGTTAGTCAACTGTTGTGGGTCGCATCCTGGGGGACAAGATTAAGGACCCCCAATGGAAATAAGTTAGACAGTCATCGATGATGCACTGACTTTCTTGGGTTATCCTGGGTGGCTAACCCTCCGGGGTTAATCGTTTCTCGGTAATTGTTTCACGTTAAGCCACACCAACAACACTCTCTCCACATCTTTGAGTAATACATGTAGCTGATGGTGGTGCAGCAACAACAACAGCTGACTGTGGTGCAGCAGCAGCTGCACCTTTGGCAAGAACAGCTTCCTTGATTGCTGTTTTCTTACCCACAATAGTAGCGATGGTTGATTGGGGTTTATTATACAACCTGACCAGCTCAGAGACATGCACTCCACTTTCATACTTAGCAATGATCTCTTTCTTCATCTCCATAGTAATTCTCACCCTTTTTGCTGTAGGGTTGGCACTAGAAGCTTTCTTGGGGCCCATGGTGACTTATTTTGCAGGTGCAATCACTACAAAGGCTGTGATAATATGAAATGTTCCAGTTGTTGTATGTTTGGAAGCGACCGCGGTGGCTGGCTGGCTTGTAAACACTGACACCCAAGGGACAAGCGAGGCGCGCTCAGGCCAAAGTGGACGCGTATGGTACGGAACGAATAGCGCTGGTCGGGTTTTTAAGCGCTAGTTGAGGCAAAAATTTTGCGTTTAATGTATCGCTAGTCAGATTTATCGTTAATCGATGCCATCGCTAGTTAAGGGTCCATTGTACTACTATACAGAAAGCCCCTTGTTATGCGGAGCAATTGGGGCAGGTTAAGTAAATTTTTGTCCCAGGATGTGCCCCAAACACCAGTCAACTAACACCCATTTTACTGATGGGTGAACATGGACAACCCTTGCTGGGAATCGAACCCGGACCCTCAGCATGTGAAGTGAGAGCTTTGCCAACCGGGCCCATGACCCTATAGCATGTAGTAGTGTGTGTCCTTGTCTGTATCCACACTCTACATTTCATGTGATTGAGATTAAGTATCAGTATCAGTGGGTATCAGCTAATTTTGATAGTATCAATATTAGCCTGGTAAAAATTTTATTGTCCCATCCCTAATTGAGATCTCCATATAGTATACAGCAGAACCTTGGTACTTGAACAGCTCCTTACTTAAATAATTCGGTATTCGAACACTGTTCGATAAAAAATTCGCTCAGTAGTTGACCATTTGTTCAACACTTGACCAAACAAACACAACCTGTCAGAACTTCACTATAAATTATTTTGTGTTTCTTCATATTTTTTTTTTATATTATTTGCATAAATAAGTCACTACGGGCCTACAAAGATTAGTGATAACAGCCAACCAAAAAGAAGAGTGGTTGGGAAAAATTCGTTTGATACTTAAACAGATCAGCACTCAAACGGCCTTCTGGAACAAATTAAGTTTGAGTACCAAGGTTCCCCTGTAATAAACTGCCAATGTTAATTATTGTCTAGCAGTGACATTTTTTAATCTGCTATTCTTGTTACCTTTTTCCATACTCATTACTTCTGTATACAGTAGACCATTGTATTACATGGTTTTATTTGGCACATTTTGGTTACTGCACTAATGAAAAACTGCGGCACAATTTTATACAATTCGTAATATTAACTTAACATGGTTCGGGTTGTTGGAGGGGAAAAAATTTGGAGCATTGCCCACAGGATACACTCTGCCTGGCTGTGGGGTAGACCACTGAGTCAACAGGGAAGGCCTACCTCCATCCCCTGCCACTCCTATCACCCCTGTCCCAGCCTTCGGTTCATGTGTGTGTAGGACCATTCTCTGCTAGGAGCTAGCTGTGTTTGTTAGGTTTGTGGATTTAGTTTAGATCTTTTAATTGCCATATCTTGTATCTACCAAGCAATCATGGCACCCAGTAGGCATACAAGTGTTGCTGAAAGTAGCAAAAAAAGGTTTAAGCGTTTAAGTCTAGGAGTTACGAAGAAAATCGAGATATTAGACAAGCTTAAGAGTGGCTCACGTGTGGTGGATATAGTGAGGGCCTATGGCCTTAATGAAGCATCAATTCATACACTTATAAAGAATGAGGTGAATATACTGACTCACTTAACTGACTTATTTGACTGATTTACTGACTTGACTGATTACTCACTTGACTGATTTACTGACTGCCTTGACTGATTTACTGATATGACTTACTTGCTGTCTGATGTGACTTACTGACTTTACTGACTTACTGACTGAATTACTGACTGACTTGACTTACTGACTGACCTTTAAGTTAGACTTTTTCAGTGAGGAGGACCCTGATGAATCTAGAAGCAGTGCTCTGAAATGGTGTCTAGAGCAGCTGATACTTTATTGTCAGCTGTATAATGTACTGCAGGGTAAAATAGCCCAGAAATCCATTACAGAATTTATGCACACTCGAGTACAACCATCGACTTCAGTACCAGAACCTCTACCATCCACCTCAGCCCTGTAGGGCCACAGCATAACTCTCCACTCTCTTCACAATCATCGACAAACACACACCCGCAATTTAAGGTAAGAAATACTATTATTTCTGTTGCATTTGTAGTCCTAAGCAGTAAAAACATAATATATCATAACAATGAACTACAATTGCATATTCAATTTTAATTTTGTAGGATCTGTTGGTCTAAAAAAAAGTTATTTGGCTTTTTTGGGGGGCTCCCAGGAACATAACCCTATTTTTCCCATAAGTTCTTCGGTTTATCTAACACGGTTTTACTTGACATGGCATTTTCAGAACGTAACTACCGTGTAATATAATGGTCTACTATAATTATATCCAAGGTATATAATTCCCAGTAATAAGTAAGTACCTGGGTGCTAGTAACAGTTAATAACATCAGTAACAACATTTTTAAGGCAATGCAATACACAAAGGGCCTAAAGATCTGGAATTCACTATCTGAACTGGTTAAGGATCCACTGACTACATACAAATTTAGGGCTATGCTTAAAAAACATTTCATCTCTCAATACTAACCAAACCACCCAAGGCAACTTCTAATCAGTTTTGAAGCAAGTCTCCCAAATATTATATGACCTCTAGTCTATTAAAATATCTGCCAATCAATAAAATATTACTGTTTGAGCCATTAATTGTAATACATAGTTTTTATTATTTGCAACTTCAAGATTATTATTCTTATAAACCTCCACGCTGACTATCTTGCATTAGTATTAAGATAAAATGAAGATTTATTAAAAAGTTAACTATTCTTATCTTGTCTAGACTTATGTAGTTATTATGCACTAAGATTAATTTGCCTGAAATGCCCTGGCATGACAGTGGCTTCCTTTGCACTTAACAAATCAAAACTGTAATTACACATTGTAACTTTTGCAAAGAAACAAAATCTTTAATCTCTTAATCTTTT